CGGCGATCAGTGCTGCCTTTTGAGGGGGTTTATTGATCTGCTTGGCTCGGAGAGCTCACACTCGGAGCGGGTGTGAGAGCCCTGCGAGACCTGTTGTGCCAATGCTTCTGCGTCTCTCCAGGTTTGAGGCTTGGATTCACTTTGGAAGCACCAGCGCAGTGGTCACCTTACTCTGTGGACAAGCAGTTAATCTGGTGTTGCTACGAATAAGAAAAAAATAAGAGGGCAAGGTATGTGCATATGTAATACTGGCACGATTTTGACTTTTTGATCTTATGGATCAAGGAACTAAACTTTTTAGGATGTCGGGTGGTGATAGGACATGGGGGAATGGATTAAAGCTAGAGATGGATCGGTTCAGATTGGACGTTAGGAAGAAGTTCTTCCCCATGAGGATGGTGAGACACTGGCACAGGTTGCCCAGAGAGGGGGTGGAAGCCCCATCCCTGGAAGTTTTTAAGGCCAGGCTGGATGGGGCTCTGGGCAGCCTGATCTAGTGGGGGATGTCCCTGCCCATGGCAGGGGGGTTGGAACTAGATGATCTTTAAGGTCCCTTCCAACCCTGACAATTCTATGATTCTAGGATTCCTTGGCTCTTAAAAATTCTATATTTTTACAGGCATCTCTTTTTCCTTCTGTCGCCAAGCTTTTGGTGGGTATCTGTGGCTGATGTGGCACGTGCTCCCTTTGGTGACTGGCACAAGTTGATAAGCACTCAGCATGATGCAAGCAGCGTACATTTTATTGAATGCAGGAATTGTTGCTCTCTAGTAATTCTCTTTATTCAGAGGCTGTCTCGCTGATCTGTCATTCTTTTCTGCCTCTAAACAAGAAGCAAAATTGCAAAGTGCTCTGAGAACACTAAGGATGCATATGAAGCGTAACTTGGTCTCTGAGGCTCTACTTTGAAATAACACCCAGCACACTATGCTGTCGGGAGTGAAACAGTTTAAATCTGTAACCTCAGTTCGGAAATAGCATGTGTTGGTGTCATTTCTTACAAAAAGAGCAATTTATTTTTTTTTAACCCATTACATTCAGATTCATGCCACGCATCTTAAACAGATTGGACGTGTGAAGTTACTGAGTGACAATATTTGGCCTACTATTGGGGGTTTTTTTAAGCTTCAGAAGTAATAAGTCTGTTCAGAGATAGGCTTTCTTAAGGCCTCACTTCTATGCAAGTGTCTGTGCTTACAATGTGAAAGTTGCAAAAACTTCAAACAGCACGATTTTATTATTATTTTTATTATTCCAACGTAGCCTACTGAAAATTGTATTTCCCATTCATATTACTCTCAAAATATATTTTGTGAGGCAACAGGCTTCAGAAGAAGCTCTGCAGCAGATCGAAGAGTGAAAAATATTCCGTTTACTGATGTACTGTGCTTGAAGCCAGGCTTAAACATCAACGAGAGACTGTTCCGTGTATATATTTGTGTTGTTTTTTTAAGACTCATGCAAAGTTTTTGACAGCATTACCAGCCAAGTGTCTTTCCAGCAACATGGTTCTGAAACAGTGGGAGCCCTTCGACTCAGTCGTTTTACTCCAGTTAAGTGAGCTTGTTTTAGCTGCTTGCCCAGTCAAAGTACGTCGCTACAAACCTGAGAACTGAATTAATTTGAATGTCTTATTTGAAAGTGTCGCCTTTGTATTTCTGCTTTCCAGCTGCCTTCCTGAGAGATGAGATGTAATTCTTATTTATAATATGCTGGTGTGGGGTGGACTTACAACTGGGAACATGACAACCAGACACAGTTCATGTTCATTTACTTTCTACTCGTATCTTCTGAGAGCCAATTATGAATAGGTAGTGTGACTGTATCATTGAGAATACAATTTTCTTAGCTGCTGTTCACCACGAGGAGAGCAATTGTTTTGCTTTATAGGTGGGGAGTTGAGATGGGGAGAGGGAAATATTCCTGCTAGCTAGCCTTAGACACCCGATGGGAGACTATGCTTCTATAATCAATAGCAAGGTAATGATCACCACTGTTACCTGTAGGTATTCTTTGCTCTCATTTGAGAGATCCAGGAAGACTAGAAGCTGGAAATCCCAAGTACTCTGAAGCTAGGCAGTGGTACTCCAGAGGACTTGCCTAATGTGGCCAGACTAGTCAGTCAAAATGCAAGTATGCTATGTCTCAGTTCTGGGGACAAGCATCTTCTGTCTCTAAGCGGTTTAGAACACACGAAATGGAAGAGTGGAAGTAAAAGCATTTGTGTGATGCTTTTGCCTGTCTGTTATTTCTGTAAATCATGTATGCTTCATCTTTCTCTTAACTCAGGAGACAAGTATCTCAGCATCTGCCAGGAAGTGGGAGACTTCACTCTGAAGTAACCGATAAGCAGGTGTGAAGCATGAAGATCAACTCCGCTCTTCAGGCTGCTATTGACCTCACAGCAGGAGCTGCAGGTAATGCTGGAGAGAACTTAATTGCACAAATCTTCTGAGGGACAATTTTAATACCTTTGACAAGTGTAAAAGCAGTATCCCTGTTGCTATAAAAAGCCTTACCTTCTATATTTTAAGGGTATGGAGAGGAAGCAGCTAACTGAAGCCAGCATTGTAACTTCATCATTATCACACCTTCCTGGACAAGTGCTTGCCAGGCAGTGAAGGTGTAGCGCTTGTTTAAAGCTCCAGAAGAAGATCTGAATTTCAGTGTTAGTTTTCACGCTTATATGAGCTTAAGAGTCGGCCAGAAGTAGAGGTTCGAAATGAACCCAAACTGTCTGTAAGTGACTGAGGTGCTGCTTTTGACACAGGAAACCTTTCTAGTTGGAACGGGCAGGAGGCTATCTGGGGGGTTACTGGCTCAGACAACCCCACAGTGTGAACCTTTAGAAGCTGGGAAGCTCAGACTGGTGATGATGAATTCACTTCCATTTTGCTCTAGTCTGTGCTTTTAAGTTTTGCTGGACCAGTTGTGACTGTCACAAACGTGGAAACAGTTGTGTTGTCTTGCTGCCATTACCCTATTGGTACATCATGGCTCAGGGCTGAGTCAGATTTTAACTCTACCAGGGAAAAGGGCTTGTCTTGACATTTCTAAACTGACAGGGTTTATACAGAAAAGGTGAAAGGAAAGACTTGTCTAATACATTTTTGTAAGCAGTTTAAATGATTTCATGTTCTTTCTTTCCCGTGAAGTAGCTATTACAGTCAGTCTTTTTATGATAGTGTTAATGCTGTGAATATGACAGTATTAGTGGTGTTAAGTGCATTCAAGGGTAGTTATCTGAGGTCATTTGTCACAGTAGAGCTAACCTTAGTGCAGTGAGAAAGCAAGGGGTTACAGATAACGTGAGTCCAGTGTGACACCTTCATAAAGCATGTTGTTTGTCACCACATTTTGCCCAGTGAATACTTGCTTTATTAGCCTTTGCAAAATGGGTTATTGACCAGACAACACTTCCCTTCCCTTCCCTTGCAGAGAGGAGAAGTGTTCTTGCTATTATTCTTTCATTGCCTTAGAAAAAATGTTTCAGTTAGTCTGTTCTTTCTCCTTGGTGTTTGGGGCCTCAGTAAAGAGCAGCTGCTGTATCTGCTCTATTTCTCAAAGTAGCAACTTAGTATCTGTGCAGTCCTTGGTGGCTTTGTGGATGTTCCCAGGTGCTTAAATGGGAAGTACAATTGCTTTCCTTCCTGATGCTTTAGTTCGGAAATGCTGCTGTTGACATCCAGAGCAGTGGAGCACTCGGGCTTAGGAAGTTGCCTCTCTGACTTGAAGCCTGGTGTGTTTCATCTGCTGCTACAGGAGCTGGAAACTGGCGTTAGTCTAGAAAAGCATTTGTCGTGGGTTAGGGCTGGGCCAGCCACTAACACGGACAGAAGCTCTCTAACCCCCTCTTCCCCCCCTAAATGGGAGGAGAAAGGGAATGAGGCAGAGAGACTTTCAGGTTAGAGAAGAAAAAAGAAAACTAGAACGGCTTTAATGAAACAATAATAGAAACAATAGTGGAATGATAAAAGTAAAGAACTATATACAACTATAGATAGTATTTCATAAATCCCGACTCCCCCCCCCCCACCCCCCTGATGTCAGTGCCCACTGGTGCTGCAGAGCAGGAGGCACTGGGGCAGCCCCAGGATCAGCGATGGCAGGAGCTGGATTCGGGAACTCAGGATCCGGATCAAAAGCAGGAGGTCAGATGGAGTCCTCCTCGGACACTGGTCATTCCAGAAAAGAGGAAAAGAGGAAAAGAGAACTCTCATGATCACTCAGTTTATACTAAATGTGACGTATATGGGATGGAATACTCTCGTTGGTCACCTGTCCTGTCTATTAACCCCTGGAGGTGCAACCTTTTACTTCCTTGTGACCCCTCTTACTACCCGGCACCCCCAGTGTGGCACACAAGAGCCAGCAGTGGCCTTGGTCTCTGTAGGAACAAGTATCAGCAAGAGCCTGTCTGCATCCCAGTCCCAGGCAGTAACTGTAACATCAGGTGTTATCACTGCCAGTAGCACACACTGTCTGCAGAAACATGCTGCTGACTTCAGAAAGTGCAGCCTTTTAGAAGAGACTGAAACCTAAAAGTAAAAATCGCTGAACAGGACTGGGTTTTTAGCTAAACCCAGGACAGCATTGCTTGGTGATACTATTCCATGGCAACATTCGGGCTAACAGGGTGTGCGTGCTTGAGGTTTGCGTGGTTTTTGACAGTAGAGTGTAGAGTGCCTTAGAACTAATTGTACTGTTTTCTTCTCTGGTATAGTTCTTCCTTCCCTCAGATAAGGTGAAGGAATTGAGATCTTTTTCACCGTGATCCAAAATCACTGTTCTTGGGTGTGTTTTTTGTTGTTGTTTTGTTTTGATTTGCTGTGGATTTTGGTTGGGTTTTTTTGCTCTTTCTGTTGTAATAGATTGTTTTACTGTTCCTCTAGTATTTATTTTCCATAGTCTTTCCACACACTGGCTTTGTATTGCCTATATTCATTGGCAGTGCTCGTTTCTGTGTTACACGTCTCCACATCCTTTAGAAAGTGTGTTTAACAAGGAAAACAGCTAGTTCCTCCAGCAAACACATAACCTGGTTATACCTACCTCTCCATGTATAGTCATGACTGGCTGGTAAGTGGTGACATACTGTGGCAAGTGTTGGTTCAAGCCCACTGACCGGCAGGGAGAGACAAAGGAACCACGAGGTTGCTCCCTCTGCTAGATTTCCGAGAAGGAGCAGTAGGCGGAGCCTCGTGGGGTTGAGATAAAAACAATTTGTTTTAATGATGAAACAGAAATGATAACAATAACAGCGAAATAGCAGTAGTGTTTAACCAGATATAATGCGAGTAATATGTAACGCGGAGGTCTCACCAAGCTCTCAGATGGAGAGGTGGAGAGAGAGAGACCCTCATCCCGATCAGCTCCCTCTATATACCCGGAGCATGATGGTATCGAATATCCCCTTGGCTAGTGGCTGGTTTGGTTTAGCTACCCCAGCTGTGCCCACCTCCCAGCCTCCAGTGAAAATTAACCCTATCCTAGCTATCCTGTATCCCAGTACAGCAAGTAAATTCTGAACAAGAATAAGTCATTTAGCTGCTTGTGAGTCATAGTCCTTTGCCTAGGATCTGAGCAACCTCTAAGCACTCCACTGTTCCTGTGTTGTTTTTAGGACGACACTTGTCTAAACATTCGAGCAGAATTGACTTTTTCTTGTTTTTCTGATTTGTTTTGGGTTTGTTGTTTGGTTTTTTTAGACACTTTACTGTTGGCTGGAAGAATTACTGTTTTTCTTTAATAATTTAGGTATTAAGGCTTATAAAGTTCCTTGCGATAGTTTAAGTGGGCTGCTCATGCCACCTCTAGTAAGACTATAAGGAGAGCCCTTTCTCTTCTTGGAGCAGCTGTTCACAGTCAACAGCATCTGTTTCTATTTCAGTTTCTTTACATTATCTGCATTTACAGATAGTTATTTCCCTTTCATAGCTGAAAAAACATCTTGATAACTTGCCCTCTTTAAGGTATATGCGTAGCAACTGTGCTTTGGTTAAAGGTCAGCTTCTGGTTTAGGATAGTTCTTCTCTCTTGCTAAAAGAGTAAAACCATAAGATTTATAAAGGATACACCTGTCATGCTTCCTCTTAGCTATTGGCCCCTAATAGATTGCTCTCAGTGCATGCTGGCGTTTCTTACTGAAAAAGTGTAGCGTTAGCCCTTTCTGCAGACTGCTGAATTGAGTTAGATGTTGTGGAAGAAGACTGCGCTGCGGGCAAAGTGGTTATTGGTGATACTGATGGAAATATCTCGCAAGTTTTCGGGGTATTGACCTTGCCGTTCAGTTTGGAAGAGATAAGGCATTGAGAAACTTTACCCTTTTGCCCTTTTGCAGCTTATCCTGGACACTTTCTTCCGGTGTGTGGGAATAAATGTAAATAAGAATCATCTGGAGTTTTGAAGTAAAGAGTTTGAGTCTATTGTTACCAATTTATAGTGCTTCATCAGCTTGAGCACTCTCTCAGCAGTATTCCTCTTGTCCTGGGGGAATCTTTGTCTCACTTGATTACAAATCTTTCAGTTTCTTGTTGTTTCTGGGATGTAGAATCAGATGGCTTGTGAACTGCTGCATTAACAAGCAAGGGAAAATATTGCTTGACTCATTAACATGAGTGACCTAATTGCAGAATGATACCTCTAATTCAGTACCCTTTTATGTAAGTGAACTGCTCCATTTAGATGCTTGCTTTTAGTAAGGTAAAGAAATGTTTAATAAGAGTTGAGCTGTTACTGCTCTTATGCCTATTTTTTTTTGTTGGGTTTTTTTTTTCCGCTTCAGGTAGCTAAATTCACTGCTGACAATTGATGTCATTGGGCTAAAATCAGTGGACTTGTCTTTTCCTGCAGAGAATTAATTCATGACATTTAAAGGCCCCTTCCAGCCCAACACATTCTATGATTCCATGGTCTTTGCTTTCTGTATGCTTTTCCTAATAGGGCCGTTTGTGTAAAGGTGTTTCAGTTGTGATAACCTTCAGGCACCCTTTTCACTTCTACATCTTGTTCAGGTGGGACAGCGTGCGTGGTGACTGGCCAGCCCTTTGACACCGCCAAGGTGAAGATGCAGACATTCCCCGACATGTACAAAGGAATTGTTGACTGTTTTGTGAAAACCTATAAGCAAGTGGGGTTTCGAGGCTTCTACAAGGGAACCACGCCAGCACTTGTAGCCAACATTGCAGAGAACTCCGTTCTGTTCATGTGCTATGGATTTTGCCAGCAAATTGTGAGAAGAATTGTTGGAGTAGACAGGAAAACAAAGCTCAGGTTAGTAATAGAAAACTGTTTCGTATTTTAAAATAAATAAATAACCATGCAACTGCTACTTGCAAATACTGTATTGTCAGGGTGCAACTGATGTCCCCGGCCTCCCTCTGCCATTATGCAGTGTAGTAAGTTTTGGAATATAGACATTTGTGCTAGGATATGGTGTCTTAACTACATCAGAGCCATCTACTTGCCGCTGCAGTTGGCTCGTTTAGATAATCACAGACTTACAGAGGTTGTAGGATCATCTCTTGAAGTGACTGAAACAGCATGTTTACAGTGTATGCAGGGAAGGTAGCTCAGAAAACTTTAAAACAATATATGTAGACTTACTACTCCAATCTTTGGAGCAGGGTACAGACTAGGAGTGTAGTTTAGATGTGTAGCAATAGGAAGTGCCTCTGACGTCTAACCCTTCTTGGCTTGGTCAGGTCATGGTACTTTTTGGGTGGGGTGTGGCTGTTTAATACATTGTTGATTGAAGAGTAAGTAGTGTGATTGCATGGCTGTGCTAGGGGAAAACACTAAAGGATTTAAGTTTACCTGAAAGATTTCTCCCTTGCTGCTGCTCCCTTGATCGTTTCACCTGGATCCTTGTGGGGGCATCTTTTGAGGTGAGAGAACTGTATTGACATGGGCTGCAATGGTGCCCATGTGGCCTGTCCAGGATGTCTCCACCCATTCTTATTGTGGAAGAGTGAAGAAGCCTTTGCAGTGTGCTGTAGGGGAGAAGAAACTCCAACAAGATGGCTAACCTCCAGACACAACAAGTAGAGAACTATAGTCACCTTTATTACTTTTGCTGTTTAAAATCTGTGGTAACTCTTTTAGCCTGAAGAAGAAAATGGCGTGAAGTGACAAACTGAGGTGAACCTGGTCATTTTTCTTACCTGTATGCAAGTAACTGCTTCTCTCTTCTTCATTATTTTGTAATGCTTGAGATTTTTCAATATCAGCTATAATAGTTTGGGGTTGCTTCTGTGAGCTACCTTTTCAGTCATACCTTTAAATGACTTTGAAATAAGCTTGCCTAGCTTGCCTGTGTTTAGGGACACCCTGGTCTGTGGCTGAAGCCTCGCAAACCAGTTAGAAGGACAGTTACAAAACAGCTCTTTTTTCTGGTTAAAGGAATACATGCCACTGATGCATGAATCCAAAAAAACCAAACAGAGAGAAAAGTACTAAATTTCATTTATCTTTTAACTCCATTTAGTCCAACAAAGTGTAATTTAATTCCATGACAAAGCCTAAACTGAGACAACTGAATGAAAAGAGACAAATGCTATATTTCATTTGTTTTCTTCAGTATCTATTTAGTCAAACCAAACTGATCTTGTTCTGTGCCAAAGTCTAAACTAAGAACTATAATCTGTGTTCACCTCAGTTTGACTTTCTCGGTACGTGACTAGTCATCTTCAGCAGGTTATTTTCTTTTGAAAAAACAAGATAAATGCCTTTTATAGAAGCAGCAGCAATGTAACAGTAGAGGATGCTTGCTCCTGTGATATGTGATTAAAACTCTCCCATTGAGAAAAAATACTGAATTAGGCATTTTGAGTTGAGAGGGAACTTGAACAGGATTCAAGGCTTATTACTTCTGCAGTGAGGTCCACTATGTTAAAGACCAAAGCCTAAACAATGGGTCTGTTTGAATTTTTCTATGTAGAATTAAACATCAGCAAGCAGGCAAAAATAGAAAAGATTGGATTTATGGCTACATGTAGTCCTTTATGTACATATGTCAGAATTCTTTTTGTCTGATAGCATCTGTTGTGGGGTTTTTTTATGTTCCTGAAGGAGGAATGATCCTGTGCACGCTTTAGTGCACAGAAGAAGGCACCTCTTCCTTATTTTCTTACCCTAATTCTCAGTGTGTAACCTTATTGCCTTGCTCTAGCTCATAGCTTAATGACTGCAGGGCTCAGCCACATACCGTGTTTTTAACTCTTCCTTGCTCTGTCTTGAGCTTTAGTGGGTTGCATTTCGGATCCCTCTTACACAAAGCTTTGCGTGCTATGAGAGGGTTGTGTGAACAATGTTGCATTTCTTATTTACTGCATATTATTCCTAGAATCACAGAATGGTTTAGGTGGGAAGAGACCTTAGAGATCATCTAATCCAACCTGCCTGCCATGGGCAGGGATGCCCTTAACTAGATCAGGTTACTCAAGGCCCCATCTAACCTGGCCTTGAACACCTCCAGGGAGGGGGCAGCCACAACTTGTCTGGACAATTTAGTCCAGAGTCTTTCCACCCGTGTACTGAAGAATTTTTTCTGGAGATTCAGTCTAAATCTATTCTCCTTTAACTTAAATCCATTTCCCCTTGTCCTATCGGTGGACACTTTTGTAAAAAGTCTCTCCTCAGCCTTCCTGTAGGTTCCCTTGGAAGGCAGTTTTAAGGTCCCCCGAGAGTCTTCTCTTTTCAAGACTGAACAATCCCAGCTCCCACATGCTGTCCTTGTAGCAGAGGTGCTCCAGCCCCTGGATCATCTTTGTGGCCCTCCTCTGAACTCATTCCAACAGATCTATGTCCCTCTTACAGTGGGGACACCAGAACTGAACGCAGTATTCGAGGAGGGGAGCAGAGTAAAAGGGGAGAATCACCTCTCTTGACCTGCTGGCCACACTCCTCTTGATGCATACCAGGATGCCGTTGGCCTTCCGGGCTGCATGAGCACACTGCCGGCTCATGTTGAGCTTCTTGTCTATCAACACCCCCAAGTCCTTCTCTTCAGGGCTACTCTCAACCCACTCTGTGCCCAGTTTGTATTCAGTTGCTGCTCTGCAAGCAGTTACTGATTTTTTCCACTTTGACAGTTCTTGTCACTGCCATAATCTGAGTGTCACGAGCTTTGCTTCATGTCGCAACTTTAGTTCCATTACACTTCTGTAAGGTGTAAAGTTGTAGCTTTAGTCTCTGATACTGCAGATACACAAAACTGCTGGGCATGGGGCAAACATCTCCCATGTATGGAAAGGATCTCGGTGCAGCAGCAAGGTCAGTCTCAGCTGTGCTGACTCCTGAGGTTCTGAAGAGAGAAGCTCCACTTGTTCTGTGCTGTTGTGCAGCTCTTGTCCAACACACCTGTGTCTGTAGGAAAGCCTTTAAAGTGTATCATAAAGCAGTCTGATCCTGGAGTGCCAGCCTTTTGAGTCCTGGCAGTGTAGCAGCTCAGACTTTGTGATGTGTAGAATAACTGCAAAGTAAGCCCGAGTTTTGGAATACTGTGAGTCACTGCAGATGGCAGCACTGTTTTATTTTCCAGTGCTGAGATTTATGTTCATCTGTCCTGTCTGTGATTCACATGGTTGCATTCACAGCAGCACATCCATACAAAGATTACAGTGGTCTGTTATGCCTTGCTTTCAGATTTCTAGCACCTTCCACTGAAAACTCGTACTAATACTGGTAAGTTGAATTTGAAAACACATCTGTATGTGGTGGTTATTTCTTCTGTTCTCTTTGAGGACATAATTAGTACCCAGAAGTGGCACAGTAAAACAAGTCTGTGGAAAGGGAGGTGGCTGAGTCACCATCCCTGGATGTGTTCAAAGATCGTTTAGATGTGGTGTTGGGGGATCTGGTTTAGGGGTGAGCTTTGTAGAGTAGGGTTGATGGTTGGACTCGATGATCCCAAGGGTCTTTTCCAACCTGAATGATTCTGTAATTCTTTATGAAGTCTATGATTCTATGGTTCTTCTATGAAGTCTTTATAAAAGCCAGGAAAGGGGGAATTTCACAGAATCACAAAACAATAGGGCTTGGGAGGGATCTCTGAAGATCATCTAGCCCAACCAATATAGTGTTTATTCTGCTGCAGTTGCTTAGGTATAGCAAAAAGGCTAAAGGCTGCAATGTATCTTCTTCAATGTCAAAAGGATGCATTTGAGTTGTATATGAAGGCAGGATGAGCTAGGCGTTTCATCTCCCTAGTTCAGATAACTCCCCTTTTCCCTTGAGACTCTCTCCTCCAAGACAGCATGTCAATTCTTCACATACTTAGAGCATCAGTTCAGGAAGCTGGTCACTGGTGCAGTGGCTCCACTGCGCTGAAGGTGAGTGCCCAAATACCTTCTGCAGTTTCTCTCTTGCAGCGATCTGCAGAATGCTGCTGCAGGCTCCTTCGCCTCCGCCTTCGCCACCCTTGTCCTCTGCCCCACAGAGCTGGTGAAGTGCCGGCTGCAGGCCATGCACGAAATGCAGTTGACGGGAAAGATAATCCAGGGACGTAAGTAAGTATACAACCGGCCCGGTATCTCTGAAACCGTTTTACATGTATTTACTGTTTTTAATTCTGCATTGGCTCAGTGCACTGCTAACCAGAGACGAGTTGTGGCTGGGAGGGTTTGCAGCCTGGAGACCTTTCAGGTGTTGGTAAAGCTGCATGTCAGTGAAAGCACGATCTTGTTCCAAGTCGTACTCGAATTCTGTTGTCTGCATAAGGGGTCTAACTCTTAAAATTGTCGCTGCGGTTGCCTGTTGTTTTGTACCCTGCTGTAACAGCCGTTACCTGGCTATTAAACATCACTAACTGGATCAACCTCTCTATCAGTACAGTTTGGTCAGTAGTGAAGGGTGTTATTCAAAAGGATGGTCCCCTTGGATTTTACCGTGGCCTGTCAAGCACTTTGCTGCGGGAAGTCCCAGGCTATTTCTTCTTCTTTGGAGGTTATGAATTGAGCCGGACATTCTTTGCTTCTGGGAGATCAAAAGATGAATTAGGTATGCTGCCTCTTTCCAAGTGAATTTTAGCATGTTGTCCCAGGGGACACATGGGAGGGGGGGGATATATCTTTGCATAATGATGCAAAGCAGTTGTAAAAATACATGTAGAATGATGGAAACTGGATGTACAAAATATGGAGGTCTGCATTTTTGTGTATATGAAGCAATGGATTATTGAAGGGACCACTTTCCAGTGGAGCGGGGTATATTATAATAGGGAGAATAAATACGGTGAGCTAACAGTAGTACTACAGACTTGCTTAAATATCTGAGTCTACAGCATAAAACAACTCTGAACCATTTCATTTCAGCAGCAGTTTAGAGTGATTTTGAAGTTTTTTGCTGTATTCTCTTGAACGGTGTGTTCAGGTGTATGCTGAAATGTATGCTGGCCGTTAAATGAAAATATCCAAGGTAGTAAGAGAACACGGAGATTGAAAATGAGACATGAAAAAATGAGGAGATGCCAGAGTAAAGATTTCTCTGCTGAAAGACCGAACAGTAATAACTTGTCTTGCTGAGAGTTAGGATTTCAGCTGCAAGCATTCTAGTCTCTGTTGTTGCAAAATGTTTAAAAACATTTAATGAGAAACACAAAATCAGGTTGCATCATGAAAAATGACTGATCATGAAGTAACTTCACCGTACCAAATAAATCTCTGTACAAGCGATTAGTGATGTTACTCTTTCACAATTAGCCTTGGAAAGTGATTACAGGTTTCAAAGGAGTTAATCTAGCTAATACAGTCAAAACATAATTCCAAAATACGTTTTTTTTAGCATAGCCAGTAATCTAAGAGGCACTCCTTATAACCTTTGAGCTTCTGGTTAGACATGCAATGTACCAGTGGCTTAAAATTAACTTAAAAGGTTGGTGGGGGAGCAGAAAAAGCTCTTTTGTCATAAGCAGGTTCCTCTGTGTTCTGTTTAATTTCTATAGATGAACTAATGCGATGTTTATGTTGGTGGATATTTTGTGGTGTGTGTAAAAGCTTATTTCTTCATTTTAGGTCCCATTCCTTTGCTATTAAGCGGAGGTTTTGGAGGCAGCTGTCTGTGGATTGCTGTGTATCCTGTGGACTGTATCAAATCTAGAATTCAAGTTCTTTCAATGGCTGGAAAACAGACAGGCTTCATGGGCACATTTGTAACTGTTGTGAGAACTGAAGGTGAGTATGTGGCACATCAGCTGAATCTCTAGGGCTGCAGGTGGAGATCTGTACACCCCAATACCAAAAATTGCCTAAGAAATCTCATCCACTGATAATGTATTAGAGACAGACAATAACTGTTTCTAAAGAACAGAGTTAGTGATGCTTTGCATAGTCTGGAAAGCTTAAAATCTAGAAATTGAGACATACTGCAACTGCCATACCACTTGGTTCAGGAAACAATTCACTTGAAGCTATTAAAAGCTCATTGTGCATTAAAAGCAGATAAAGGAATGAACTCCATTACCCATGACCAAACCTATATGTGAAAACTGAAGGAACCAGTGAAGTTCAGTACAGACTTTTTCTTCACCTCTAGAAGTTAAAATATGGCTGATTGAGGGCTGTTTGATCAGTCCTCTCTAGCCTGGCAGCTTAGGCCATCTGCCTCTCTGAAAGAGGCCTAGGCCAGGCACTTCAGAAGAATCCTGCACGTATGAATCCTGGCCCTGTTGCTAGGAAGGGTACTCATCAGAGCAGGAGTCTGACTTGGGGCACTGCTCCAAGATTGTCCTCCTGTTCTTTCTGTCCCCTGGCCAGCTGGGGTACAGCTGCTCAGAACTGTATCCTCAGGTGACCAAGGTAACCTTCTGAAGACCCTGTCATACCTGAGATAGGATTCTAACATAAGCACTGAAGTGGCTGAACTGAAAGACATGGACCTGTTGGAGGAGGTCCAGAGGAGGGCCACAAAAATGATCAGAGGGCTCTCCTACAAAGTACAGGCTGAGAGAGTCGAGCTTGTTCAGCCTGGAGATGAGAAGGCTCCAGGGAGACCTTATTACAGCCTTTCAGTACTTAAAGGCAATCTATAGACACAACCTTTTTAGCAGGGTGTGTTGCAGTAAGACAAGAGGCAATGGTGTAGAGTTACACTAGATACAACAAAGAGGCTTTTTACAATGAGGATGGTGAAACTGGCACAGGTGTCCCAGAGAGGTGGTGGAGGCCCCATCCCTGGAGACATTCAAGGTCAGGCTTGATAGGGCTCTGAGCAACCTGATCTAGTTAAAGATGTCCCTGCTCACTGCAGAGGGGTTGGACTAGATGGCCTTTAGAGGTCTCTTCCATCCTAAAACATTCTATGATTCTATATCAATATCCAGTAACACTGGCACTAGCAGCTGCACCATGAAGTTCAGCTCTGTGTGTGTGTGTGCGTGCCCCTCTAAGCAGAAGCATCACTTCAGTGTCTTTTGAAGGTAAAAGCACAGTGGTTCGTACAGCAAGGCAATTTTGGTAAATTGCTAACTGGCTCTGATTTAATTTCCAGGTGTACTTGCCTTGTATTCTGGACTTAAGCCAACTATGATCCGTGCATTCCTGGCCAACGGGGCACTGTTCCTTGCCTACGAGTACAGCCGGAAACTTATGATGAAACAAATAGATTCGTACTGATACCTTCTCACAGATGGAGAACTAAAGGTTGTCTGAAGATCATTTAAATAAACAATCGAAAACCTGTAGATCACAGTGTGGTCTGAGCAGGGCCAAATCAGTGACCTAATTTTAGGTACTCAACTCCAGTTTAGGATTTTTAATCTTTTAAATTCAGGTGATTTTATAGAGAGGTGTACACGCTGCTTGAATTGGACCAGCAGAACTATTTCCATCTTGCAGATTCTGCACTAGGTACATTGCATGTCATAAATGTATTTTCTTGACCTGTGATGGTGCTAAAAAGACTTATGTTGACCTGCTGGGTTTAATGTAAGAAAGATGCAGCAGTAGGCTGTAATTTCTTTAAGGAGAAGCACTGTTTTAAAATCTCTGCTGTGGTGATGAACTTCCCGGGTTGTTGCTGGCACATCTGGCAAAGTAACAGCAGTCCTGTCTAATCTTGCTGAGTGTGGCTGACCTATGCATACCTCTCCGTTAAGATTCCAGCCTTTCTCCAGCTCCCTTCCACCCTGTGATTTCCCAAGGCCAGGGCAGTTGGTGTGTGACTTGTGTACTCTGTCCCAGTGAACAGGCTTATAAAAGTTGGAAGTGTTCATTCTGTACCTTGTATGACTTGGAGCTTGATATAGTCCTGCATTTGAGAGAAAAACATATGGTTACAGGGTTTAAGGAGTCCATGGAGCATTTTGTTATTTTCTAAATCTTTTCCAAAAGTGCTGGAGTATAATAAGTTCCACTGAATTAAACACTTAATGTAAGGCAGAGTGCTGGAAATAGCTGCCAGCACTGAGCATTCAATTGTAACTTTGTGCAGGCTCCCGTTTGGGTCACCTTGCTATGAATTAGCCCATGTGCTTGAAGGACAGGAAGCTGAAGAGGAGCAGAAAGCCAGAACCAACTTAATGACAACTGACACCATGTCTCTCTGACTTGGGTTGGAGTCATGCCACTCAGCGTGTCTCTTCAGCTCATGTGACTGGAGAGTTAGTATCACCTTCAGGCCTAGAGGGCATGCCTGCTTCCTCACACTACTTAATTAAACACACAGTTAGTGTCAACCAAAATGATGTAGAAACACCTTTTTCTAGGTGCTGCTTTCATTCTTGAAGTAGAATAGTTTTGTTTTTTTTACAAGCGTGCTCTGCATTTTAAGCAGCAGCTACTGTTTGTCCTGGGAGAAGGTCTCCAAGCTTAATAATTCATGCCTCAGGCCTGAAATTGTCCAGAGGGATGTCATCTGCATGCTGTAAGTGACAACCCACTCTTGTGGAAGGCACAGAACAAGCTCCTTGACCCACCAGGATCACCAGGGCTACGCAGAGAGTAGCAACTTACAGCAACCACGATCTGTCCATGACTGACAACAGTCACCACTGGAACAGCTCAGTTTTGCACGTTACACCTTCCCTGTCAGATCCCAAAAACAGGAAAAACATGCTGTAAGTGACAACCCACTCTTGTGGAAGGCACAGAACAAGCTCCTTGACCCACCAGGATCACCAGGGCTACGCAGAGAGTAGCAACTTACAGCAACCACGATCTGTCCATGACTGACAACAGTCACCACTGGAACAGCTCAGTTTTGCACACGTTACACCTTCCCTGTCAGATCCCAAAACCAGGAAAAAGCTTTAGGCGTAGGTGAAAGTATCTCACTGCCTACTGCCTCATGCACTGGAGCCAGGGTGCACTTAACTGGCTGCTCCCTTGCACTGTTACAGCCTCTTTGCTGAAAGGTGGTTGCCACAGTGCCACAACCTCTTGCTTCCCCAGCCTTCAAACTGTTCATCCCCCTTCCATACAGCTGTGAGAAAAGGCAGTTAAAGCAGGACCTGGCTGAAGTATCTGCAGTGTCTTTTGCACCAATTTACCTTGAATGACCGGTACACTAGGGCCAGTAATGCTGTGCAGCATCAGTACTTTACAAGGAATTTATACCAAATGTTTAGATAATTCAGGTAGAAGAGTGAGGCTTTAAGAGTTATTAGACTTCACCTTCTTTTCAAAGGTGTCTAGCCAAGATAATAGTATATTTGTACATGTTTGTAATAGTTATGAAAAGGTGAGGATTCACTCCACAGCAGTGGAATACTTCAATCTATTTCTTAGATTTGTCTTTGCTTTCATTTTTTAAAGCTCACAGGTGTGGTTTTTAATACAAAAGTTGAAGCTTCCAGAGAAGCAAGATATTTAGAACTGAAGCTACAGCAAGAAGCTGGTGGCTGAAAGAGGTGTGCATTTTGAGAGTTTACCTTCTGAAGTTGATGTAAGCAGTATTTTTTCCATTCACAGCTCCTTAAGCTGTAGACATGTATCAGTTGTTCATCTAAGAACTTATTGTTGGTATAGGAATTCATGGGAATAAAGTCTGATTTGATTAACAGAGTACCTGACTATTCTTTATGCAACACTTAACAAGCTTGTCTGGCTGAGAAGCAAAGAGAGCTTAAAGTCAGTGTCACCAAACCTCCAGAATTAAAGGAAAAATCTTTTTACAATCAATGAATGTATAACCCCCTCAAACCTAAAGGGAAAGTGCCAGCTTTAACAAGGTGCTGTGTAACAACTGTAGGTTTTAAGTGATGATTTACTACAGAAAATAAAAGCCCATAGATTAGCCCTTGACCTGTTCCTTTGTTTGTGCCAAAGTCAGTTCTAATATTAGGGCTCAACTCAAGTTTCAGGTTTCTAGAAGTTACTGTGATACATGGTGAAAGAGTAAGTTTTCTGACAGAAGAATGACAAAAGTCCAGCACAGGTCCCTTCAGTTCCACAAGTGTTAGCAGTGAGTGTCCTACCCTAGAACCAGAGAAGGTCACAGTAAAGGCCTTTGACACGTTTCTCCCACATCATCCTTCTCTAAATTGGAGAGAAGACATTTTTTTACAAGTTGGGTGGGGAAACACTGGAACCGGTTGCCCAGCGAGGTGGTAAGAGACCCATCTCTGGAAACATTCAAGGTCAGGCTTGATGGGGGCTCTGAGCAACCTGATCTAGTTAAAGATGTCCCTGCACGCTGTAGGGGAATTGACCTACATGACCCCTAAAGGTCCCTTCTGTACCAAAACATTTTATGATCTTGAGCGGTGGTTCATGGGTCTCTTAAAGGAGCTGTAGTATCTCCCACATAGAGCAATTTCATTGCTGATTCCCGCTTACACAACAGTTTTTACTTAACTACATGTTTCAGCTAGAGAAATTCTGATTTTTGTTGTTAGAACCTTTGCTGCTGAGGAGGTTAGCTTACTCCATAAGCAGGAAGAAGGTTCACCTTAAGTACCCTGCAAGCTCTTAGAAAGGGCATCCTAGGACAGTGATATCCAATTGCCTGAGCTAAGCCAAAAAGAACCCGGTCACAGTCACTTCTAGCTTCCACAGCCAGAAGCCTCCTCGAGCTCCTAACACATTCAGTTCATGGACTACGTGCTCCATCGCCCTCTAGTGATGCACCTTTGGTCTCACCCCTGTGCAAGTATTTCTTCCTTTTCTTGAGCCAGAGATGCAAGGGTTGCACTAACTTTGCCAGCACCTCTTAAACTTAGTAAACTGCCCCTCAAGGTTATGTGCAATAACACGGGCAGCCTCTGAAGCAACAGTGCAGTTCAGGGCATAGCACTGCAGAAATTGAACATGAGCCATCACACACTCAGAGCAGATCTGGAATACTACATCCAATTTCATGATCCCCAGCACAACAAAAGCAGTGACATACTAAAGTAAGTCAGGTAGCAAGCCGCCAGAAGAGGATGGTGGAAAAAAATGGGTTTGCTCACCCATAACAGAAAACAGGAGAAATCTTACTGGACTTATTGGACTCAATCTTGAAGGTCTCTTCCAAACAAAACTATTTTATGACTCTACTGCTGTCTAGTTACCTCGTATTCATGGGAAGGGACAGAGCCAGGCTCTTCGTGGCCATCCAGGGGTAGGACAAGATGCATGGGAAATTCCAGCCAGGAAGGAAAAGCAATTCTGAGACTAAGCCTTGTGTGAAATCTCAATCCTTAAAGATAAATAGAACTGAACTAGGTTGTGAGCTTGCTCTAAATGGGCCTGTTTTGCACAGGAGTGAGGACTACATGACCTCTAGCTCCTTCCACTTGCAGTATCTAAGCAACACAGGCTCATTATCCTGCACCGAGAACTGCAAACAAGTAGTGGAACATCCTTGGTCATTCAAGAGAGGTTTCAACCTCCACACAGCAAGAGCACAACTTGAGTCCACACATGTACTTCACAATGCACCACTACCCTCAAGCAAGAATCAGGAAAGTACAAGATCTCCGCCTGCTCATTTATCTACTGAAAAAAAAGTTATACCAGTCCCCTTCTGCTCTTCATTCCCAAACCCAAAAATACTAAAGAAGCAACAGAACCAAGAAGCTAACATCAACACCTGCTGCACATCAAGGAAGGCTTAAACAAGTCTCCACAGAAGAGCTGCACTGATGAGAACATCTAGAATCAGAACAAGCATTGTCTGTGCCTTAACAGGTCTCGATATAGCTCAAGAGGGGTCAGGGAGCATTTGCAGTGTTAGCTCAGAGGAGTAAGTGCACAGATCAAACCCACCACATGTTGGTATGACAGCAAGCCTGGCTAGCTGACCCTAGCCAGTTTGCTCATGAGCTGATAGGCCACCACAGCCCTCTGCGGGGAGGTGCAGTGGCAGAGAAGCACCTGTTGCAGTCTGCCGTCCCCTCAGTCAGCTCCCAGGCCACACATTGCTCAAAACCCTACATCATGGGTTAAATGGTGGTTTGATACCAAGACTTTGTTCAAGAAGTATTAGTCTGCATGTGCCAGTTGACTATTCGTCCCTCCAAATTCCCATATTCTACTTATCTGTGGAAAACCCTGATGCTGAGGGGAAGGTGTGGCAGATTTGTCCAGCAGTCTGCAGGGCTCCACTTACCAGCAGGTTAATGCTCTTGCTTAGAGACAGACAATGGTCTTGGATTAATAAAGTAGGGATTACCTGTACATTGTGACACCTA